AAAAATTTTCAAAACTTTTTCAAAAAACTCGAAATTTTTAAAGTTTCAAAAAATTCGAAATTTTTGAAGAAAAAGTTTTCAAAGGAAAAAAAGGTTTTCAATATTCAAAGGAAAAAAGGTTTTCAAAAGAAATTTTCAAAAAATTCGAAAAGAAAAACAAAAAACCGAAGAAAAAATTTTTTCAAAACCAAAAAAATTAGCCTTTTCCCTTTCCCATAGATCTCTCTGCAGTGTTTTTTTAAATTAATACAACAACATTTTTTGTCCGTCAGATTAACAACCATACCGGGGAAATTAAAATCAACAAAAAACGACAAATTATCGATTCAAATCGGCTATTTGGGCAACTTTTCGTGGTTCACGCATACCCGTAACGACTGATTTCACTTCGTTCTGTGAGCATGGCGTTAATTTTTCGCCCAAATCACCGATACCACTTACAACGCCCAATTCATCTTCGGATGTACTCAGCAAATACGAACTAAGATTTTCGCCAAAACCAATGACACGCGCCAAAATAACATCACCGGGATGAACACACTGATGCAACTTGATCTGAAAATAACAAAAAATATTACGAATACTGAATTTTTTTAACTCATAACTTGAGGTTATACACCAAGGAGTTTGGTACTGAAAAAAAGAAGTATACTTACCCTTATTTTGCCTCAGTTACAAGAGTTGTGAATTAATTCTTTGTAAAGTAGGAAGGGCAGTACGGGCCGTAAAGGCCCTATGAGGATCATATCAACAAAAAACTATAAAACAGCCCGCCCGAAGGAAATTTAACAAATTTTTGATCTTTTGAAAAGCAATCATAATGTTTCTTACTTTTTCTTTTTCAACAGGCATTATATCCTCCTTCCTCAGGATTCCACTGAACTCATTTGAGAGAGTAGAATTTTCCACACAGTGTATTGAACATTTCGCAAATCGTTGACCAATATTTTGCACCTTAAAAGTTGCTCATTCAAAAGCAATCACATTCTTGGATTTCAGAACTTTGCCTCAATCTGCGCAAAAATTATTATTGAATAACACTCCTAATCGATAAGTTAGACGGCAAGACGTTTGATCTTGAAGAAAGGAAAAAATACACTTTCTGTGTTTATAGTTTAGAGATGAAACACAAACAGGCCGCCCCACATACTTCAGGTGGAAGATGGCCATTTAACATGTCAAAAGGTTTGTACCACATTATTTGACCAACTATCTTCCCCACCACTATCCACTGTCAAATTTTATCCTTACAGCCTTAAAACACATGGAATTCAGTCGTGCTGAACTTTCTTCGGTTAGCACAGTCCAATAGTTCATAAGGTACTTTTCGGCCGCAAAATACCACTTCACAGTTTCGACCTTCTCGTCAACCCTGCTCGGGACGACCAATTTTGGCTGGGCTCCTACGCTCTTTTCTTTTTATTCTATTATCTTATATTATCTAGAAGTGTTAATTTTCAGTACAAGTAGTGGTGCTCAATAAGTATCAAAGATATCTCAAAATTCCCCAGAACGTACTTAGTAAATCCTAAATGCCTCAGAAGAAGCGCAAAGCTATTAGCCCTTTTATGAGGTGAAATAATGGGTAAAATGCCAGTTGAACAATATGAAAAGCCCTCTTTTTTTCTGAACCAAGCACAATGAAAGAAGATACCTTAGCTGTAACAATACATCCGATATATGGCATAACATGACTCTTGTCTTTTTCGGATTCCCTTCGCACTTCTACCACTTTGATTTCCTTGCCATGCTAAAACACAGATTTATATGCGACATCCACCAGTGTTGTCAGCAAAAGCAGCAAAACGTTTTGCCCATCGAATTTTACTTCCTCACATAGTCGTAATGATATACTGCATGTCACTGATCTCGTGGAAATCCTCACTACTTTTATCGTTACAAAGAGATACACCAAGCATCCTTCACTCCATCGCTCTCAGGGCAATTACTAAAACTCAGCTCGGCTCGGCCGGCGCCATACACGACTTGCGAGAGATTTTTCGGCCGAAGGCGGGTGACCTTACCCCGCCAAGGTGCAAAGGACTTCCGATGCCGCAAATGACATGGGGCAGGGATAATGCGGGTAGATTTTGTGCGCGAAAATTCGGGACAGGCAGAGGGAAATGGACTGAAGGGCCCCGAGCCGTAGATTCGTTGACAGTTGGCCAGGCCATGTGCATCTCGAGGGGAGAGGGAAAGGGAGTAATGGGTAGGAAAAAGTGTTGTTGGTTTTTGCCACGAATACCCGGGGTAGGAAAAGGGCCCTGGCCATTCGCCGTGGAGTAGCCCTACCCATCCGTGCCAGAAAAAATTTTTCGCAAATCGTGTATGACGCCGGCCGAGCCGAGTTTTAGTAACCGTTATTAGTATAATGATACAGAAGGGACGCGCACGTTTATTATGATTTTTTATCACAATTTATTCGCAACGACCCAAAGTCAACTGTTGATTCATGCAAATCATAAGAATCGCGTCCAGTTCTTCAACCACAGTGCTGAAGGCAATGATTCCAATAAGAACAATCGACGTATTACCTCAAAGATTCGAAAAACTTACATCATTACTCGTATACATATGAAGCTTTCCGGCAAGCGAAGCATGTATATAGCCGTACAATTCATAAGTGCCAGTGCCAGCTTTCAGGTCTTCGCTAATTGGGAAGAGCCGATCACCGGGAACCACAAATTTGCTACTCGCTTCGGGCGTCGAAAACCTACTGCTATTAACAGACATCTGAAATCAGAAACAACGGAATAAGCAAAAGAAGGGGGGAAAAATGGATAAAAACAAGAGAAATAGGAAAAATTTAGGAATCAAAGACCAGAGGTTTAGGGTTTTCAGGCTAAGTATTATAGAATTCAATGTTACTTCGTTCAGCTGTCGTGTCATCGAAGCCACAGCGATATTTTCTGCTCCTCCGGACTGTTGTGAATGAAGCAGGTGCTTCACCCAATGGTCACCCTGAAAAACTAACACGTATATATATACATATATTATACACTATATATAGAAACCGCAAGACCAAGGTCGACGGCATAGTTGTCGGCCAGGCATGCGTGGTTCTCAGGTAGACGCACGTAAAAGTTTTGGTGGGAAAATTGCTAACTCGGCAACCAGAAAAGCTGGAAGGCTGAAATTTTGAGGGTATGTTCCCTGTCCATGTACAACTTAAAGATTTCAAATTCAGCAATAGGGAACGTTTCAGTATGAGCCTGAAACACCAAAGAACATTCCAGTGATAAGTGAACAAGTTGTCGTTTCAAGTAAGGAATAAGATCGGGATATTGGACCACGATATTATATAAAGGAATCATTTTTTGTACAGTCTGTTTTATCCCTTAGCTGTAAACACTGATCGAACTGCTTATCAAAACTTCTAGCCGTTTCGAGATGTCACTTAAATAGGGTGCTACTGTCAGGAAAAATTCGCGAAAAGCCGGCAGAAGAAAAAATGAGTATATTATCAGCCGTGGCAGATGCAAAGGGAATAGAAAAGGTGTGTTTTGCCTTATGTGCAGAAGTGCTCCCAGGTCCAGACTGGGGAATAAGACCTAGTACAATGGTTAAACACGTCGCGTCCGGATGTGAAGAGGACACTCTGAAAGCAAGTAGTATTCCAACCCTTTCCGAACGCCGGGTATCCGCGGCAAAAAAACAGGAGCACTCCCCCTCCTCCCCCCCCTCCCGCCCACTCATTTCCACCTACTCCCTTACCTTTATCCCCTCTTCGCTCCAAATGTACGTGACCTAGCCAACGAACAAAGGAACTACGCCA